TGAACACCAAAAACGTCAATTTTGTCTTTAAGTACTAGCAATGATAATCAGAAGGGAAAATAAAGACAGTTCCATGAGAGATAGACTCTGGGTGAATAAAATATTTAGTGCTAAAATTAGCATTTATTCTAAAATGAACAACAACAAAACATAATAAAAATAATTAAAGAGGGTCTAAAGAACTGAAGTAGTGTTTCCTGTTGATAACTTAGAAACTTTCTGCTTTTAATCAGTACTCCCCCAAAGTAATCTATTACTTTAAGGATGTGATCAAAATCCCATTTGCCTTATGTAGAAAGGAAAATGATTTTTAAAGGCTATTTAGAAATAGAAATATAGAGAGCATCCAAAAATAATTCCAAAAAAGAATTAAAAAGATAGAAAAACACAATTGAAAGGTTCATGTGTCCTAATAAGGAAAACAACACAATACTCACAAAACCACAAATGAACAGTTTAGTTAAACAGAACTGTGAACTAAGAGTAAAATCACCCTCATAGTTATGGTTACTTAGTGTTCAAAAAAGCACTAAAATTATGCAATGTAGAACGAATATTTTCAAGAAATGATGCTGAGGCAATTGAATATACACATGTGAAGAATGAAATCGGGGCTTCATCCCTACCACTTACAGAAAGGCACTCGAGCACTGGTTGCACTTAATAGATAACACTATAATTAGTAGAAAAGAATTGGCAAGAGATTTGTAGATAGCATACTTAAAGTACAAGAAAAAATCAATAAGTTGATTGTAAAAGTTAGAAGTTTGGTTCATCAGTGAACACTATCAAGAAAGCAAAAAGATAGCATGCAATATGGAAGAAAATATTCACAGATCATGTACTTGATAAGAACTCATGCGACTCAAGTATAAAAGAAGTAATGAAAACCTAAAACTTGGTAAAAAGATCTCAACAATCATTTCTAGAAAAACACCCAAGTGGTTGAGAAGTCACCAGGAAGATGCTCAACATCACTGGCTTTCAGAGAAATGCAAATGGCAAGAATGAAGTAGCATTTCACATCCATTGAGTGGCTGGGTTTTTTTTAAACAAAAACTACAAGCACCAATGAATATGGGAGAATTACAATGCTTACACATCATTGATAGTAATGTAAATGGAATAATTTCCATAGAAATTGTAGGTGTTCCTCAGAAGATTGTACACAGAACTATGGCATATTGTTTTACAATTCCATGACAATTTATTTACCCAGATATCAGTAAAATGATTTCAGTAAAATGTGTGTATGAATGATCACAGCAACACAACCCACAACAAAGTCAAAGATAGAAAGAGGCAGAATCCTCATGAGGGGAGGAATGGATAGGCGAGTGTGTTATGCCCGCAGAAGAGAATATTATCAGAATAAAAATGCATATTCAGAAATGTGAATGAGAGCAAGAGCTTGCTGAATGAAATAAATTCTCATAAAAGGTCACACTTGTAGGATTCCACTCATTTGATTCCAACAGATAAATCCAGAGACAGACAGCAGGTAGCCAGAATTGTGGGAGCCTGGGATGTCCAATGGAAAGTTAGCAAGTATGGTATTAACTTTGGGAGTGTTGAGAACACTTCAGTCAGAGAGATGATTCAGCATACCCCCTGTGACTGTACTAAAATGCTGTTGAGTTGTATGTTCAAAAATCGTTACACTTTCATTAAAATTCCACACCCTAGTAATAGTCACTTATAGTTATGTGGTATGAATAGTCATAGGAACTTGACTTCTGGAAAGGATTGCCTTCGCCTTGAAGATAACCAAGGTATATCTTCATTTGGTTTTCCTTGGTGATGTCCAATGCTGAAGAAACTTTTCCTAATTTATTCTGTAACCTCGTAGAAGCTCATTCTGGACTCTTTGTTGGGTTGTATTGTCCTCTTTGTACACCCTTTCACCAGCAGCAAACTATCTTGATCATTACAATGTTTTAAAATAATTATTTCAACTTCAAAAGTAGTGTTTATTGGAGATTTAGACTGAAATTATGTTTAAATTCTACTACAAATTAACACATTGGTATTTTTCCAATATACAGCATTGATAGGGAATATTTACCCAATTGATTTACTTTTTCTGTCAAAAATGTCTCATAATTGTCTCTATAAACAATATGCATATTTATGCCTGAGAACGTTGCTCCTGGCTATATGCAGTAGTTCCAGGATATATATTGTAATTTTCTCTCTCTCTCTCTCTCTCTCTCTCTCTCTCTCTCTCTCTCTTTCTCCTTCTCTCCCTCTTTCCCTCTCTCTCTTACTCCCTTCTCTCCCTCCTTTCCTTTCTCTGGTACTGTGGATTAAACCCAGGGTCTTGTGTGCATGCCAGGCAAGAAACTCTATTAATGAGTTGTATTTCCACCAGTGAATTGTATTTTTTGGTTCAGTAACATTTTGATATGAGATATTGTTATGAGATAATCTCTTATTTTGGTACTGATCTTCATGTCAAATTATAATTTGTCTTTTATGACTTTACTGCTAGAATTTCTTTATTTTTTTATTGAAAACTTTTGTTCACATGCTTCTTTTGGCTTGTTTGCTTTTAATCTCTACCCCTTTTATCTAGCCTGATAATATTTGCTTTTTACTTGGAATGCTAAGTTCATTTAATTTGGTGTAATTTTTGGCATTTGGACTGGAAGCTCATCTTTATATTTTGCTTTCTCTTTCTATAATCTATTATTTGTTGTATTTATATTATATCTATATAATATAAATAGATTTTATATTAATCTATTTTTCATATAAGGGTGTACATTCATGCCATAGCATAAGTGTGGAGAACGGAGGATACCTTGCAGGAACTGGCTCTCCTTTTGTAATATGCAGGTTCTGGGGTAGAATGTTATCAGGAACTGATGACAAGTACTCTTATCTACTTATTCACTTCATTAGTTCCTTATTATTTGCCTTTATTTGTTGATATTATCACTTTTCTGTACGAGTTTTATTACTGATTCTGATAAATTTACTAACTTTTATTTATCTACTTTGTACTATTTTTCAGAGACCAAAATACACATCTTCAACAACTGCTTCAAAAATGGAGTCATTTTGGCAATAGGTTTCCACGTAGAACTTAAATTCGTTATGATTTTGTTGTCACACGTAGTATCTCGACATAATTCAGGGGAGATGGCTTGTTATTTCATTGTCATTAAAGCTTCTTGCTAATGTTCTGCTATGACTAGACATTGTAAGTACTGAATGAGAAGCTCACCATTCATGCCACCAGCCGTGCTGTCACTAGGCAATGTCTTGCGGAGAGCACAGAGCCTGCTGGTGTATGGCTTCAGGCATTGTCCGCTCAGAGATGAGTGATCCTCAAGTCTATAGTCCTAACTTTAGATAACAGACAAGGAGACAGAGCTCATTCATGATGGAGAGGGAGGCCTGACACAATTCATTTCAGGTCTCAAGTTTTTCTTTCATTGTGTTTTTCTGCTTTGTACTTCGTGATTGGATAAGTGACTGTCTCAGTGTTATTGACCATATGGTTAAGCTGTGCAAATATTAAATGTCTACATTAAGAATGGTTGTGATTTAAGTTATATACAAAACTATTAAAGTTAAACACTTTCATTAAAATGACAATGCTGGGCATTGAAAGTTAGTATTGCATGCATTCTTCGCTACAACTCTGTTCAGGCTTTGCTGAGTAGTCGTGTATAGGTGAAGCACAGAGTTCATTTCAGTCTGCTTTACAAATTACTCACATTCAATTTCCAGAAAGCACAGAGTGGTCTTCTAATCATTTAACTAAAAAAAAATTTTTAAACTTATTCTTTTCTCTTGTGATTAAAACCAAGCACTCAAAGCTTGGTGAGTACAACAAGCTAGTATGTAAGAGCTACATTCAAGCTCACTTGTCTTCCAAGGTCAACTGGGGTTTGATACAAGCCTGAGATGCTTAGCATGCTCCCATGCATGTTGTCAGGACAGAACATTGGGATAATCCATTGGTGACCAAGGCAGTAGATACTGAGGCATGTCTGGGATGGTAGGACAAAGAAGGACCATAGAGAGTGATCATGAGTAGCAAAGAGGAAGATCTAAGGGAAGTCAGATGGACAGTTGTTTTTAATTTGGGTTCACTATTCAGAAATGCAAATCCTTTCCCCTCCTGCTCTAAAGATATTATTTGCTTTTTTTTTTAAAGGTTTGAGCTGTTTCAAGGGAGGTTTATTGTTGCAAAAGGGCAGAAGAGGTAAGAGATCTGTTCCATGCAGTTCCCAGTCTTCTAATAAGAGAATATCAGAAAGACCTCAGGCAGTTACACACGTGAGAGGGTGCAAATGAGTAGGCAGATGGGAGTGCATGAATTCAGTGCAGACGCTGGAATGAACGTGAATTCATCGGGATTAACAAAGAGCCAAAAACAGGTGAAAAGTTTGAATTCGTTGATAATTTTTCTTTACTTCTCAAACTACGAAGACTTGGGAATTTAGGAATATCTAAGTAACAAACTTACATGATTTGGAGTCTGGTGATGGAGGAGAAATATTAGACACAGCAAGGTCGCTTTTTGATTTTTTAGGCTTCTTTGCATTCAACTGCCAAGGTTTATCATAGCTTCTAAAGTCCCTTCTTGTTCCTTTGGGTTCTGTTAAAACAAAATATGAACAAATTATAATAATAAGGATGAAAAACTCCTGACCATGAAATGGAGCATCATATATATATATATATATATATATATATATATATATATATATATATACACACATATGTCTACTGAGAGGAGTTAAGTTCAGTAAAACATTGGATTTTATGGTTTATTTTATACAACTGTCTAGATAGAATACTAGTGAAATAACTTAGTCATGATTTATTTCTTATCTATTTGATTGAATAAATATGAGGGACAGAAATTCATTCAATAGCATTCCAGACACAGGATTTAATTGGCACTAGAAATTTCAGCACTAGTCATTCATGGTCTGTCCTTTGAATTTTTTTTTTCTTTTAAGAATCCCAGAGAGCAACAGCACCAGATCCAAGATGGCGGCCTGCAGGAGGCTGATGAAGGAGCTTGAAGAGATCCGCAAATGTGGAATGAAAAACTTCCGTAACATCCAGGTTGATGAAGCTAATTTATTGACTTGGCAAGGGCTTATTGTTTCTGACAACCCTCCATATGACAAGGGGGCCTTCAGAATTGAAATCAACTTTCCAGCAGAGTATCCATTCAAACCACCCAAGATCACATTTAAAACCAAGATCTACCACCCTAACATTGATGAGAAGGGACAGGTCTATCTGCCGGTAATTACTGCTGAAAACTGGAAGCCAGCCAAAACCGACCAAGTAATCCAGTCCCTCATAGCACTGGTGAACGAACCCCAGCCTGAGCACCCACTCCGGGCTGACCTAGCTGAAGAATACTCTAAGGACCGTAAAAAATTCTGTAAGAATGCTGAAGAGTTTACAAAGAAATACGGGGAAAAGCGACCCGTGGACTAAAATCTGCCATGAGTGATTTCAGCAAGTTTGAGCAGAGCCCCCGAGCAGTGCATTCAGATACCCCGCAAAGCAGGACTCTGTGGAAAATTGACACGTGCCACCACCTGGCATCCGCTTGTGGCAGTTACTAACTTTCTACAGTTTTCTTAATCAAAAGTGGTCTAGGTAACCTGTAAAGAAGGATTAAAAAATTCAGATGTTCTAAAAAAAATAAAAATAAAAAAATAATAAAAAAAGAATCCCAGAGCTTCAAGTTATATGGCACTATTTGTAATAGCCAGAACGTGGAAACAACCTAGGTGCCCCTCAATAGAAGAATGGTTAAAGAAGGTGTGGAACATATACACATTAGAGTTTTACTTAGCGGTAAAAAACAATGACATCTTGAATTTTGCATGCAAATGGATGGACATAGAAAACGCTTTACTGAGTGAGGTAACCCAGACCCAAAAAGAGGAATATGGTATGAATTCACTCATAAGTGGATTCTAGCCATAATTAAAGGTCTTTGAGCCTATTATTCGTGATCCTAGAGAAGCTAAATAAGAAGGTGAACCTGAAGAAAATCATGTAGTTATCCTCCTGGAGATTGGAAGTAGACAAGAGTGCCAGGCAACCTCGGGTGCATGGGGGGGAGCGTTGTTGGAAGGGGAGAGGGTTAGAGAGAAGGGAGTAGGGGAGGAATGGGGAAAGCTCAGGGGATTGGGATGGGGGGAGGGAGGAAGGATGGATATGGGATCAGGGAAGTATATATCTCAACTAAGGGAGTCATTTTAGGGTTTACAAGAGACTTGATTATAAAGGGGTCCGAGGTCCAAGGACAGATCCCCAGATTGTTCTCTGGACAGAGGAGAGGGTGCCTGAACCGACCTTGGCCCATAACCATACTGATGAACATTTTGCATATCACCATAGAACCTTCATCTGGCGATGGATGGAGATTGAGACAGAGACCCACAATGGAACACTGGACTTAACTCCCAAGGTCCAAACGAGAACGTGAGCAAAGAAGGCAAGACCAGAGGGAACCTTCACCCATTGATGGATGGAGATTGAGACAGAGACCCACATTGGAGCACTGGACTGAGCCCCCAAGGTCTAAATGAGGAGCAGAAGGAGGGAGAACATGAACAAGAAAGGCAGGACCGTGAGGAGTGCGTTCACCCACTGATACAAGGGGACTGATCTAATGAGAGTTCACCAAGGCCAGTTGGACTGGGACTGAACAAGCACATGATCCAACCAGATTCTCTGAATGTGGCCGGATTCTCTGAATGTGGCTGGCCCGGGGTCTTTCTGAAAAGCCATTGACAATGACACTGGGACTTGTTTCCTCTGCATATACTGGAATTTTGGGACCCAGTCTGTTTGGATGCTCACCTTCCTGGACCTGGAGGGAGAGGGGAGGAACTTGAACTTCCCACAGGGCAGGAAACCCTGACCTGCTCTTAGGGATGGAGAGGGAAGAGGAGAGGGAGTGGGGGGAGTGGGAGGGTGTTGGGAGGAGGGGCAGAAATGGAAACTTTTATAAATTAATAAACTTTAACTGACCATTCAAAAAAAACCAAAGAATCCCAGAGCTTCAAGTTATATGACAAAAGAGCAAAAAAAAAAAAACAACCTCTGCCTACTCTATCTGCTCTCACACCTGAACCGAGATAAAAACACTTCACATAGTCTCTTGCATACCCTAAAATGGCTCCCTTATTTGAGATATAAACTTCCCTGCTCCCATAACCATCCTTCCTCCCTCCCCCCCTCCCATTCCCCCAATCCATCCCCGATCCTCCCCCTCTCCCCTCTCCCTAACCATCTCCCAGTACTTCCACCCACCCGGGCACCCAAGTTTGCCTGGCAATCTTGCCTACTTCTAATATCTAGGAGGATAACTATATGATTTTCTTCAGGTTCACTTTCTTATTCAGCTTCTCTAGGATCACAAATTATAGACTCAAAGACCTTTAACTATGGCTAGAAACCACTTATGAGTGAGTACATACCATATTCCTCTTTTTGGGTCTGGGTTACCTCACTCAGTAAAGCGTTTTCTATTTCCATCCATTTACATGCAAAATTCAAGATGTCATTGTTTTTTACCGCTGAGTAAAACTCTAATGTGTACATGTTCCACACCTTTTTTAACCATTCTTCTATTGAGGGGCACCTAGGTTGTTTCCAGGTTCTGGCTATTACAAATAGTGCTGCTATGAACATAGTTGAACAAATACTTTTGTAGTGTGATAGGGCATCTCTTGGGTATATTCCCAAGAGTGGAAATGCTGGGTCCTGAGGGAGGTTGACTCCCAGTTTCCTGAGAAACTGCCACACTGATTTCCACAGTGGCTGCACAAGTTTGCATTCCCACCAACAATGGATGAGTGTTCTCCTCACTCCACATCCTCTCCAGCATAGGCTATCGTTGGTGTTTTTGACTTTAGCTATTCTGACAGGTGTAAGATGGTATCTCAAAGTGGTTTTGATTTGCATTTCCCTGATCGCTAAGGAGGTTGAGCATGTCCTTAAGTGTCTTCTGGCCATTCGAAGTTCATCTGTTGTGAATTCTCTGTTCAGTTCAGTACCCCATTTTTTAATTGGGTTAATTAGAGTTTTAGTGTCTAGTTTCTTGAGTTCTTTGTATATTTTGGAGATCAGACCTTTGTCTGATGAGGGGTTGGTGAAGATCTTTTCCCAGTCCGAAGGTAGTCTTTTTGTATTACTGACAGTGTCCTTTGCTTTACAGAAGCTTCTCAATTTCAGTAGGTCCCATTTATTTATTGTTTCTCTTGGAGGGGTTCCCAGGCCCAAGGAGAGGTCCCCAGATTGTACTCTGGACAGCAGAGGAGAGGGTGCCTGATCTGGCCTTGGCCCATAACCATACTGATGAATATTTTGCATATCACCACAGAACCTTCATATAGCGATGGATGGAGATAGAGACAGAGACACATATTGGAACACTGGACTTAACTCCCTAGGCCCAAATGAGAAGCAGAGGGAGGGAGATCGTGAGCAAGGAAAGCAAAATCAGAGGGGGCCTTCATCTGACAATGGATGGAGATAGAGACAGAGACCCACATTGGAGCACTGGAAGTCAGGACTGCGAAGGGTGCGTTCACCCACTGATACAAGGGGTCTGATCGAATGAGAGCTCACCAAGGCCAGCTGGACTGGGACTGAACGAGCATGAGATCAAACCGGACTCTCTGAATGTGGTTGACATGGGGGGCTGACTGAGCCCCCAAGGTCCAAATGAAGACTGAGAAGCCATTGACAATGGCACTGGGTCTTGTTTCGTCTGCATAGACTGGCTTTTTGGGATCCTGGCCTGTCTGGATGCTCACCTTCCTGGACCTGGAGGGAGGGGGGAGGAACTTGGATTTCCCACAGGGCAGGAAACCCTGACTGCTCTGGGGAATGCTGAGGGAGGAGGAGAGGGAGTAGGGGGAGTGGGGGAGCGGGAGGGTATTGGGAGGAGGGGAGGAAGTGGAAAGAGTGTTTTCGGATACTTGAATAAACAAGTCTAATGGGGGAAAAAACACTTCACATACAAGTCTGAATCATGAGAAAGCTACCATTCCAGAAAGAATGAATGAAATATATTAAATAACAGAATATTTAAGACAGCAAGGAAAATTATAATCTTACAGCTATTTAATGTCAGAACCTGACTTTTTTGACTTCCCAATATAAGTAAAATAACTCTATGAAACAAAACAAAATCACATGGAAGAGTTGCTGAGCAAGTTATGACTAATACACTATTGCACCTAGAATTTTATTTAACGGTTGTTTTGTTTTGTGTTGTGTTTTCTGTACTGTCAGAAAACTAAAATGCAATACTGCATTAAATTTGTATTCGGTGCTGGAAAAAGAGTGCTGATGGCATTGAAAATTGAATCAGGGACATAAAGAACACACTTCACTCAATAAAGATCCAGAGCACAGAGGCCACAAAATGAGAAAGGCAATGTTACCTGAAAGGGAAGAATGGGTGTCCCTTAGTGGAGACTCAGTTTGCACCAAATGACTTTCCTGAAGAATTAAAGAAAATATCCCCGCTACAGTTTTGAATATCAAAAGGGTGTGTGTGTGTGTGTGTGTGTGTGTGTGTGTGTGCGCATGTAATTATTGTACAAAAGGGATTGCTTTCCACTGGAAAAAAATGCAAGTAAAAAAAGGTTTCTCCTCCACACTATTATGTGATGAACAAGTGAGAACATGCTGTGTCCTGAGTTCCTAGATTTATTGAAATGGAACAATAGGGCAACTTCAGATATTCTGGAAAAGTATTTTGTCTCTGCCCTTGAGCTGTAGAGACGTTCTGTAACTGACTAGAAGATGTAGCAAATTAGCACAAAATCACAGCCATGGTTTAAGAGGGAATCACTGCCCACCATCCAAATAATAATCCAGGAACTGCTTGCTTCTTTCTCCTTCCTAATTCTCTCTCTGAAATATTTTTTTGCTTCTCTGTGGCCTTTACATTTCACATAAACAACCTCTGCTCCATTTTCAAATCCTCACTTCATATCTTAATGTATACATCATTTTCACATAAAAGTGCTTCTTTGCAACTATCTGGAATAGAGGGCTTCACAACACAGGGGCTGTGAAGGCTCGAGATGCCTAGTGTCCAGTTGCTTTTGCAATGGGAGGCCTCGACAGAGAAGGTGAAGCTCCCTTCTCCTTTGTGGGAAGCCCCTCTCATCATCCTGCTTACCATGCCCTATCATTAGCCTCTACTTCGCCCATGGAAGTGTTCCAGACATGGCTACAGTCTGTCCTGTCCTTCTGACAACATGTGTAAAACACTGGTGTCCTCTTTAAACTTATGCAAGTCACAAGCTTCAGACTTTCTTGCTTCAATTCTTCAGAGCTTCACTTCTCTGAGGCTTAGACACCCCAAACTAGGGCTCTGCACTGGGTCTACACGTTCTCTAGAGCAACTCCACCTTAGACGGCTTGGCATCACATATCCCTGTCTCTCAACACAGCAAAAATCTTGTGTCTCTTGTTTTTACTATGTTGATCTCTTTACAGGTTTTTTGATCTCTGATTGTGGTTCTCGGAACAAGTCTTTTTTCCAAACTCAATAACTCATTCATACCAGGCTTTGTGATTAGTTACCTGTACAGTCTGCTCACCAATATCCCTAACTCTGCATAATTTGTGCCCCACCTTCAACCCTGGCTATAGT